CGGTGTTTATTCAGCAGGGTAAGGGTCACTCACTGTGTAACCGTACATGGTCGGTGTTTATTCAGTATATCACTGTTTGAATTGATTAATTAGAGGCAATGAATTTCTCCTGCTGAACACCCATCAATGAGATAATAAGGAATAAATGTTGCGGTTTCTGTGCAGGTATCAGTGATGTTGCTGCTGTTGATATTTACACCAGTGGGAACATTGAAGCTCGGAATGGTACCGAGAAACGTCTGAAATGCACATTTCAGTCCAGTTCTCCTGTCAGCAAGCGAACCACTGTCACCTGGCACTTTCGACACCCTGAAAGCAGCAATGAGGAGTCTGTAAGTATCTTGTGGGGATCTCATACGCTTCTCATATCAGGTACAAGTCACCTGCATTCACCCAGCCTTAACACAGGCTTAACAAAGCCAATAAGGTCCCTTAAACCACAAGCAGCCCCTAAACTGGAATCTCACTCATTGCTGACTCATTTCTTGCTGTTATGATCCCAGCCGACGGTAATACCAGCTAAATCAGATCTCCAAGTGAAACCTGGTCTGATCGATCATATTTTCTTTTTTATTTCGTTAATTAAAGTGGTCACTGAAACATTTTCATTGGAGGTTGCAGTTTTCTTGAACAGCAGAGCAGACGTTTTTTGCAGATTGGCAGAAATAAGAAAACAAAGTAGTCTAAATATATATAACAGTTTACACACAACAGAACCAAGTTACAACATGTTTCCTGACACTAATCTTTACAAAGATTCAATTTCAGGAAAATTACATCTCTATCTCAACTCTTTAAGGTTCCACCTGTCTAACTCCTTACAGTTTCTTTCCTGTAGACTGTCGAGACAGTTCGATGAGTCCTTTCTAAATCTGCCGATGTGACCTTTACAATAAACCTGAGAGCCGGAACTTTCTCAGTTCTAATAATCTACACATTTCTGACCAAATTTGCCCAGTTTGGAAGTTTTGCAAGCCAAAGGTGACTTGTTCTCTCAGAAAAACTAAACTTGCTTCTGAACTGAATTAAACTTGCTCTTCTCAGATTCTTCTGAGCTGAAAACAAAGCATTACATAAGAACATTAGAACTAGGAGCAGGAGTAGGCCGTCTGGCCCTTCGAGCCTGCTCCGCCATTCAATAAGATCATGGCTGATCCTTTCGTGGACTCAGATCCACTTACCCGCGTTCTCACCGTATCCCTTAATTCCTTTATTGTTCAAAAAAAATCTACCTTTTTTTAAAAACATTTACTGAAGTAGCATCAACTACATCACTGGGCAAGGAATTCCATAGATTAACAACACTCTGGGTGAAGAAATTCCTTCTCAGTTCAATCCTACCATTAAAGTACTCTACCATTAAATTTATAAAGCCAAAAGCATAAACATTTTTCCATTCATACCCTAGGGGTCCACAGTTGCCTGCCCTATAATAAATACTGGATTTAAATCACTGATCCTAGAGGACATTCTAAACTTTTATTTAAATGGAAAATCCCTCATAGAAGTAACTGACACCTACTTGTCCCTATTTTGAAATCCAACTTCCAAAATGTTGGTGATGCAGATATGAAACAGTTTTCATGATGGTATCCTAAATGTCAGAATGTCCTCAGCCTGGATCATGTGAAAGGGTCAATATTGTTGGCTCATTGCTGGTGAAATGTTCAACTGGAACTTCCACCGAGCAATGAGTCAACTCCTTCTCGAGTAAATTTCAACATCTGCAGCTGTGAAAAGTGATTGCATTCCATTCATCCCTGTACTGGTCTGTCAAGCTGAAAGGCAGAACAGTAAGCTGTTTTTATTTACATGTGTGGGCCTCACATTTCCACAGTCCGTGGCCAATCTCAGTCACTCTCAATCAAAAGTCACCGAATTCTGCCTGTGACCACACATGCTGCAGGGGCAACCAGGGCCTGTCTGAGCTGAATATAAAGCAGGACAGACACCACAGCTTTAGGCTGGTATGGCTAACCCAGTTCCTGGTACTGCCCTGTAACATGCTGAGTAATAAGGTCCAAACCAGAAACAGAAACAGCCAGTGCCTGAAGAACTGTGTCGCCAGCAATAGGCAGCACATTAGTCTGTGACATTTACTGAGCTCCAGCAATAAGGACTTTGCATGAATGTGGAGATAATTTGAGCTGGGAAGGTTACGAGGAGATTGAATGGAGACATTCACATAAATGAAGAATTTGATAGAATCAGTAGGGAGAAACGAAGCAGCACCACAAGAATAGTGACCAGAGGAGCGCTAATTTATTTGAGTAACAAAAAAATCCCAATGTGCGGACGTTAGGAGCATTTTAGGATGGAAAGTTGACTTTTTTACTGCTGTCCTGAAATGTGGGTATAATTTGGTCAGTATTTATTGCTCATCCCTAGTTGTCCTTGAGCTGCCTTCTTGAACCGCTGTAATCCATGTGCTGTGGGTTGACCCACAGTGCCCTCAGGGAAGGAATTCCAGGAGTTTGACCCAGTCACAATGAAGGAATGGTGATAAATTTCCAAGTCAGGATGGTGAGTGACTCGGAGGGGAACTTGCAGGGGGTGGTGTTCCCATGTATCTGCTGCCCTTGTCCTTCTAGATGGAAGTAGTCTTTGTTTTGAAAGGTGCTGTTGAAGGAGCCTTGGTGAATTTCTGCAGTGCATCTTGTAAATGGTACACACTGCTGCTACTGAGTGTGGTGTGGAGGGAGTGGATATTTGTGAATATGGTGTCAATCAAGCAGGCTGCTATGTCCTGGATGGTGTCAAGCTTCTTGAGTGTTGTCAGAGCTGCACCCATCCAGGTAAGTAGGGAATATTCCATCACATTTGTGACTTGTGCCTGATGGACTGTGGACAAGCTTTGGGGAGTTACTCGCCACAGTATTTCATAAGACCATAAGACATAGGAGCAGAAATTAGGCCATTCGGCCCATTGAGTCTGCTCTGCCGTTCAATCACGGCTGATAAGTTTCTCAACCTCATTCTCCCGCTTTCTGCCCATAACCTTTGATCCCCTTGACAATCAAGAACCTATCTATCTCTGTCTTAAATATACTCAATGACCTGACCTCCACAGCCTTCTGAGGCAGTGAATTCCATAGATTTATCACTTTCTGGCTGAAGTAGTTTCTCCTTATCTTCGTTCTAAAGGGCTTTCCCTTTACTTTCAGTCTGTGCCCTCTGGTCCTACTCTCTCCTGCCAGTGGGAACACCTTCCAAACGTCCACTCTGTCCAGACCATTCAATATTCTGTAAGTTTCAATTAGATTCCCCCACATCTTTCAATTTCCATCGAGCAGACCCAGAGTACTTAAATATTCCTCGTATTAAGCCTTTCATTCCTGGGATCATTCTCGTGAACCTCTTTTGAACCCGCTCCAGGGCCAGTACATCTGTCCTGAAGTATGGGGCCCAAAATTGCTCACAATACTCTAAATGTGGTCTGACTAGAGCCTTATAAAGCCTTAGGAGTACATCCCTGCTTTTATATCTAGTCCTCTTGAAATAAATGCAAACATTGTATTTGCCTTCCTAACTACTGACTCAACCTGCAAGTTTACCTTGAGAGAATCCTGGACTAGAACTCCCAAGTCTCTTTGCACTTCAGACTTCTGAATTTTCTCCCCATTTAGAAAATAGTCCATGCTTTTATTCTCCTCACCAAAGTGCATGACCTCATGCTTTCCCACATTGTACTCCATCTACCACTTCTTTGCCCAATCTCCTAACCTGTCCAAGTCCATCTGTAGCCTCCCACCTCCTCAATACCACCTGTCCCTCCACCTATCCTTGTATCATCTGCAAAATTTGCCAGAATGTCCATAGTTCCTTCATCTAGATTGTTAATGTATAAAGTGAAAAGTTATCGTTCTAACACTGACCCCTGTATTCCTAGCCTGTGACCTGCTGTTGTAGCCACTGTGTTTATGTGGCTGGTCCAGTTCAGTTTCTCAACAATGGTGACCTCAGAAATAACCTTGACCGATCCAATTTTTCCAACAAGCTGCAGTTTTCAATCCTGGCAACATTCGTCTAAATCTCCTCTGACATTTCTGTAGAGCAATTAGGTCCTCCTACCACTGAGTTAGATATGGCGTAAAGCTCTCTCTACACTGTCCCTATCAAACATTTCCAGGACAGGGAGAGCATGGGGTTACATACAGAGTAAAGCTGCTTTTTCACTGTCCCCTATCAAATACTCCCAGGACAGGGACAGCTCCCATACACTAAGCTGCAATGAATTGTGAATCCTGTAAAACCCTCTCCCTTTCACACAGGTCTTTTATTATCATGAGGAGCCATTCCCACCTTCTGGAGGTCGTTTTAAGGATCGTGTATCCTGGTCTGGCAACATTTGGAAAAAGGATGGATCAATTACTATCAGTAACCTGCAACTCACAGACAATGGAACCTTTGTGTGCAGTGTGAAGAATCCCCCAGATGTACATGGGATTGCTGGAGAAATCAAACTGAGTGTTGTCCATAAAGGTTTGTTAAGGTTGTTGAGATGGGAGAGGCCCCTGGTGCTGGTTTTATTCAGCAATATCTCAGCTGTGGGATTCACATCAGAATTACAAAATGAAAATTTGCACTTAAATAGTACCTTTCACCATTTCTGGACTTCCAAAGTGCTTTGTATCCAGTGGAGTATTTTAACGTTGTAACCACTGTTACTGTGCAGGAGGGACATCTTGCAACTGGCAAAATATTCTTGCCAGTACTTATGTGATAATTAACTTTAACCCTGGTTTAATGTTGCTTGATGTTAAATATTGGCCGAGGACAACAGAAAGAAGCTGCTGTTCATATTTAAAATAGTACCATGGAGATTTTAAGTTCACCTGAGAAGACAGCTTAGTCCTCGGCTTAACATCTGAACAAAAAGACAACAATTTCCGACAGTGCGGCGCTCCCTCGGCACCGACCCTCCGACAGTGCGGCGCTCCCTCGGCACCGACCCTCCGACAGTGCGGCGCTCCCTTGGCACCGACCCTCCGACAGTGCCCTCTCCCTCGGTACTGACCCTCCGACAGTGCGGCGCTCCCTCGGTGCTGACCCTCCGGCGCGGTGCTCCCTCTGTTGTGCTGAGATTATTGTCCTTAGGTCTTTGGTTTCAGGTGGGAGTGTGGGTGCTGCCAACTGGCCAGAGTTAATCAGTGACAGTGACTATAAATTATAAAGGAGAGATTCAGATCAATATCTCAGCCAGTGATTGTCTAGTCCAGCAACGTTGAGCACCAGCACCTTTTCTTACAGCTGATCCATTTTATACATTTCCTCCTCAGAGAATTAATGAAATGAAAAATGAATGTGTCTGAGCCCAGAGTCCTGACCTGTCTCTTACTATCCCCACTGCAGACCTAACCCTCTGCCAAAGAACCCCCATCCGCTCTCCGCTTGCCCCCATTCTCTGTACCCTTGTCTGCCGCCTTGGCTGTGATGGGATCTCTTCCCAAGTGTTAGTTGCAATATGCCGTGATCCTCAATGTCTTTGATAACATAGTCCCCACTGTAGTGTATGTGTGGGGCAGTGAGCGATAGTGACCTATGTAAATGTTGGAGAGCCTTGTCTGATCATATCCTCACAATCCCTGTCTCCAATGTTGTCCCTGGCTTGTTCTGACACCTGTCTATCCACAATGAGATTGAGGATGGACACTGGAATCTTTTTGTGCTGTTGGGGAATAAGATATCACTTGGACACTGGGTTTAACATCTCTCTCCATGTTCTGTGTTTATAGTCACATACTCGGAGATGACGATCCTGGGGATTGTGATTGGATGTGCCACAGGCCTGGTGGTGTTGATTGTTATTGCTGTGGTTGCTGTTCAATTTGTTCGTAAGAACCGGGAGCAGCAGGAACAGGAAGAGGTGGAGTATGAGGAGGACAAGGAACTCAATTATGAACATCAGAATGGGTAAGAAGCCACGGGTTGGGAGGCGGGGGTGATGGTGGGGGGTTTGGGGCAGGGGAGGTTGAGAGTGTTGGGGGGGTTGGGGCAGGGGAGGTTGTGGGTGGTGGTGGGGGTTTTGGGGCTGGGGGGGTTGTGGATCGGTTGGGGGGGTGATGGTGGTGATGGGGTGGAAGGAACTGACTTCCTGCAATGACCTTCCAGCTTCCTCAAGCTGCAGACACTTTCACCTTTTTAATGCTGCAGGCGGGGAACTCCCCAAAGGTAGTGGAGTTTGGAGAGACAGCATGGGGCCCCTCTTCACACCACCTCCCCCAACCCTCCCCCTTCACCCACTTCCCACTTGGGCCGCTGACCTAAGGAAAGGTACACTAGCGTTGGAGGCAGCGCAGAGAAGGTTCACTTGGCTGGTAGCAGGAACTGAGGTACTGTCTCATGAGGAGAGGTTGACGAGATTGGGCCTATCCTTTTCAGAATGTAGAAGAATGAGAGGTGACCTGTTTGTAACGTGCAAGATTGGTTGTGGGACAGGTGGTGTTGAGGAGGCAGGGAGGCTGCAGAAGGACTTGGACAGGCTAGGAGAGTGGGCAAAGAAGTAACAGATGGAATATAATGTGGGAAAGTATGAGGTTATGTAATTTGATAGGAAGAATAGGGCCCAAGGGTACAGCTTTAGCATAAAGGGAGGACCCTTTGGAACAGAAATGAACAGAAACTTCTTCAGCCAGAGAGTGGTGAATCTATAGAATTCATTGCCACAGAAGGCTGTGGAGGCCAGGTCATTGAATATATTTAAGACAGAGATAAATAGGTTCTTGATTGTCAAGGTGATCAAGGGTTACAGGCAGAAAGCGGGAGTATGGGGTTGAGATAATTATCAGCCATGATTGAATAGTATAATTTCTGCTCCTATTTCTAATAGCCTTAAGCATAAAGGCATAGACCATTTTCTAAATGGAGAGAGGCTTTGGAAATCTGAAGCACAAAGGGATTTGGGAGTTCTAGTTCAGGATTCTCTTAAGGTTAACATGCAGGTTCAGTTGGCAGTTAGGAAGGCAAATACAATGTTGGCATTCATTTCAAGAGGGCTAGAATACAAGGTCAGGATTGTACTGCTGAGGCTGTATAACACTCTGGTCAGACTTCATTTGGTATACTGTGAGCAGTTTTGGTCCCCGTAACTAAGGAAGGATGTACTAGACTGTGGGAAGTGGGGTCAAGAGAACGTTTATAAGAATGATCCCAGGGATAAAGGGCTTGCCATATGAGGACCGGTTGAGGACTCTAGGTCTGCACTTGGAGTTTAGAAAGATATGGGGGGATCTGATTGAAACTTACAGAATACTGAGAGACCTGGATAGAGTGGACTTGAACAAGATGTTTCCACCAGTAGGAGAGACCAAGACCTGTGGTTACAGCCTCGGAGTGAAGGAACGATCCTTTAGAACTGGGATGAGGAGGAATTTCTTCAGCCAAAGAGTGGAATCTGTGGGAATCATTGCCACTGAGGGCTGTGGAGGCCAAATTATTGAGTGTATTTAAGACAGAGATTGATGGGCTTTGATTAGTAAGAGGATCAAGGGTTACAGGGAGAAGGCAGAAGAATGGGGTTGAGAAACACATCAGCCACGATCAAATGGTGGATCAGACTTGATGGGCCAAATTGCCTAATTCTGCTACTATATCTTGTAGTCTAAGACTCTTATGGGACTTGATAGGGTAGTTGTGGAGAAACTGTTTCCCTTTGTGGGAGAGTCTAGGACCAGAGGGAACAATGTCCGAGTAAGGGGTCAGAAATTTAAGACCGATGAGGAGGGGAGTGAATGTGTGGAATTCTTTACCACAGAGGGCTGTAGAAGTGGGTCATTAAGTATATTCAGATCTGAGATAGACAGATTTTTAATCAGTAAATGAATTGAGGGTTATGGGGGAAAAGGCAGGAAAGTGGAGCTAAGGATTATCAGATTAGCCATGATCTTATCGAATGATGGGTTGAATGGTCTATTTTTGCTCATACACCTTCTGGTCTTAATCACCAGGCCAACCAGTCAAAAATAGATCTCCTCCAAATGTGGAACTGTCAGAATCTGAGGGATAGCTCCTCCAAGTACAGGCAGGTTCTCTCTTGTATTTGCTGCAGAAAGGCTCACTTTATAAAGGTGAATGGTACTTGCCAGGGTGAGTGAAGCTAGGGGTGTGGGAGTGGGAGGGGGTTGAGGTTGGGAGGTGGGGTAAGATCAGGGGATGGTGGGGTTGAAGTCAGGGTGGTGGGGACGTGGGGTGAGGTCAAGGGCTGAGGGGTGTGGGAGGTTGTCAGGTGAGGGGTGTGGGGGGAATGTGCAGTCAGGGGATAATATGTTTGAAGCTGGGGATGGGAGGTGTTGGGGGGATGCTGAGGTTGGGTGTTGGGAAGCTGGGGTTAGGAGCTGGGGAGTGAGGCTGCAAAGTAGGAGAGAGCAGTTTCGACAATGGAACAGTCAGTCAGCTGCCATTTAGGCAAACCAAAGAACTGAATCTTTGCAAATGAATGTGGAATCATTAGCTTAAGACTGCAGGGGTTCAGAAGCTGCTACCTGCAGTAACTTGTAATGTATGCAGTTGACATTGTCAGTTGGATAATTTAAAGTTTATGTTTTAGTCATCAGGTTGCAGTTTCCCAAATGGTAGGCTGGTGCAGGGACTATGTCAGAAATAGACATTAAAGTGTAATCTCACCAGTCCTCAGTGTGTCTGTTTAACAGGGCTGGCTTTTTGTGTGTCAAAGTGAATGTTTGGTGTTTTTTTTTTAGACATTTAATACTAATTTATGCCTGTTCTTTTGGACCAATTTGAATATTATGTCTGAGAAATTAGTTTTTTTTTCTATTTGTGGCTTTAAGTTTAATAGCCGGCTTATATTTGAGGATGTTGATGAATCCTTCTCACCTTGCTTTGGTTTGTATCCAAATTTCAATCTGTCATCAGAAGTATAGAAGCTGCAACATTTAAAAGGATGGGTATATAAATAGGAAAGGTTTAGAGGGAAATAGGCCAAATGCTGGCAAATGGGTCTAGATTAATTTAGGATATCTGGTTGGTATGGACAAGTTTGACCAAGGGGTTTATTTCCATGCAGTATATCTCTATGACTCTACTGTTGCTACGTAATTGCATCGCCAAATAAATGAGGGAATGAGAATGAGAATGAAAATCAATAAGTAGTTCTCAGGGAAGTCTCAAGAGGGGACCCTCAAAATAACATGATCTCACTCACCCCCCAAAGACCACAGCCTGAGCCCCAGAACTCTGTATTCTGTGCTACAGTCATTTCATGTCCAGTGGCAGAGACATTGGCTTGAGGATCTCAGTTTTCCAACCCTCACCTTCATCTCATTCTGTTTACAGGGTGGAACTGCAGAAATCAGACCATGAGCCAGAGCTTCTGACTGAAGGGTTAGAGACAGCAGCTGTCTCCTGACAAACCGCACCAGGAAGGTACCTGATTGAATGTGAAAACTACATTGCCGTGACAAACATTCACCTCCATGTGACTTGGTGATTGCACACTTGGTGATGAAATGGTTCTGGGTTCAGGATCCATTCCAGAGAGTCAAATATAAAATTCATGCTAATACTCCCAAAGGGAGCGCGGCGCTGTCGGAAGGTCAGCGCCGAGGGAGCGCAGGGCTGTCGGAGTGTCAGCGCCAAGGGAGCGCCGCACTGCTACTTGGCCTGGTTGCCTCTTCCCGCTCCTGCCCAATTGCTGCGAATGGATTCTGTGGCTGGAGCAGAGTTTTGGCTTTCATGGGCAAGGTGGCAACTTGCAGAAAGTTCAGTCTTTGGAGCAGCAGGAAGTGGGAGGGATGTGAGAAGCCTAATCTAAGTGCAGGCCTGAAGGTTACTTGCAGAGTGCAGACAGGAAGAATATTGATTCATATCAAATAGACACCACTGGTGGGGTCAGCATTTATTGCCTGTCGCTAATTGCCCTTGAGAAGGTCGTGGTGAGCTCCTTTCTTGAACCACTGCAATGTTTGGGATATAGGTGCACATAGTGCTATTAGGAAGGGAGTTTCGGGATCGTGACCCAGTGACAATGAAGGGATGGTGGTATATTTCCAAGTCAGGATAGTGAGTGACTTGGAGGGGAACTTGCAGAGGGTAGTGTTCCCATGTATCTGCTGCTATAGGAGAGCAGTGTTGGTTGCTGGACGATTGTGACGGTGCTGGAGGCTGTAATAAAGGTACAATTCAGTAGGTTGTTTGTTGTGAAATCTGAAATTTATTTTATTTTCCAGGTCAATTTCTGAACCAAGTTTGATTTTAACAAGAGAAGAAGCAAAATTCTAAACGGAACCACACGTCTCTTTACCTGTTGTAGAGAGAAAGAACATTTCAGATTCCATTTGCCCTTTTTGTTCTTTACTTCTTCGATGAAGCTAATGATGTGGTACAGATTCTACAGTCTAACCCCAATCTACAGCAGCTCCAGATGAATGTAGCCTTGGCCTGTCAATATTTATTAGTAAATCTATGGAGAAAATCAGAGAGTGTAGTTGTTATAGTAACAGATTATTGATCCAGAGAATGCGATGGTTAAATTCCATCAGATCAGTTTAAGAATTTAGTTCAGTTTTAGTAAATCTGGAAATAAAGAACTGGTCTCAGTAACTGTGAAAGAATGACCCAGTTGGAAAAACCCAACTTGCCAACTCATGTCCTTTAGGGAAGGAAGCCTGCCAAAAGTCTGGGTGATACTTGTCTCCTGAACCATACCAATGTGGTTCATTTGTAACACCCCTCTTAAATGGCCAACAAGCCTGTCAGTTTCATCAAGTGACTGACAGAGGAATGACACATGGACAGCAGTGTTTAAGAAGGCAGCCCATCACCAACCTCTGTAGACCCAGCCAGCTACACACACATCCTGAGAATTAGTTATTTATAAATTTCAGGTTAGGAAATTCTTTGTCACAATGTGAACTGCACCAAAAGCTAACTTTCACTTAATAAAAACCAAAAGAACTGCAGATGCTGTAAATTAGGAACAAGAATAGAAATCACTGGAAGTTTAGCAGCTCTGGCAGCATCTGTGAAGGAAAAAATCGGAGTTAATGTTTCGGATCCAGTGACCCTTTCTCAGAACAGTTCTGAGGACGGGTAGCCGAACCCGGAACAATAACTCTTTTTTTTCTTCACAGATGCTGCCAGAGCTGCTGAGCCTTTCCATAGCCTCCCTAACTTTGCATTCGATTTGCCTTGCAATAAACTGTAGTGTTCTATCAGCTTCACTACTTACTTGCTGTATCTGCATACTAACCATTATACTTCATGCTCTAGGACATCTACATCCCTGTGCACCTCAGATCTGTGTAGTCTCTCACTGTTTAGATCATATGCTTTATTTTTATTTTATTTTACCCACTAAAATAGGCCTCTCACATTTTCCATGTTATGGTCCACCTGCCAGATCCTTGCCCACTCACTTAATCTATCAATATCTCTTCGTAGCCTCTTTATGTCTTCTTCACATTTTCTATCTTACCTGTCTTTGTGTCATCAGCAAATTTATCTCCATTGAATCCCTTCATCAGTCCATTTATAGAAATTGTAAATAGTTGAGGTCCCAGCACTGACCCTAGCAGCACACCATTCATCACATCTCACCAACCAAAAGATAACCCATTTATACCCAATCTCTGCTTCCTGTTAGCCAGCCAATCTTCTATCCATGCCAATGTTACCCCTTACACAGTGAGCAATTTTTTTCTTCAATAACCTTCAATGTGGCACCTTATCAAATGTCATTTGGAATTCTAACTATAGTTACCTCCACTGATTCCCTGTTACATTGCACATGTTATTGCCTCCAAGAACTCCAATGACTTACTTAACATAACTTCCCTTCCTTGGAACCATGTTTACTTTGCCTGATTATCTTGAATTTTTCTACATGCCTTGTTACAGTATATTGAAATAATAGCTTCTAATATCTTCCCAATGACAGATGTTAAGTTAACTGGCCTGTAGTGTCCTGCTTTCTGTCTCTCTCCCCTCTTGAACAAAGGAATTATATTTGCTCTTTTCCAATTTAATGGAATCTAGGGAGTTTTGGAAAATTAAAATCAATGCACCAACTATCTCTTTAGCCATTTTTTCAATGCCCAAGGGATGAAGTCTGTCAGGACCTGGGGTCTTGGCAGTACACAGCTTCAATGATTTGCTCAGTATCACTTCTCTTGTAATGACAATTTTCTAGAGTTCCTTCCCCTGTTCCATTTTGTGATTTATTTTTGGGATGTTACTGACGACAAATACTTGCTGATTCATCTGCCATCTCTTTGTTCACCATTATTAATTCCCAGACTCATTTTGTTAACTTGTTTCCATTTTAAATATCAAGAGAAGCTCTTACAATGTTTTTTTAAAAATTTATAACTAGCTTTCTCTCATACTCTACTTACCCTTACTTGTGAATTGTTTTCACCATTCTTTTGGCATTCATGGCTAAGTTGTATATTCAGAACATGATTCCAAGAAAGATTCATCAGTAATGAGGGTATGACTGTTTGTTAGATAGGATATGCAACATGTTTTAGGAATATTTTTTTAAAAGCAATTTAGGTTTCAGTTTAGTTCCTTCTTCGTGTTAACACTGAGGGAGGTGGGGATCAAAGATCAGTGTTAAAGGAAGTGCATTGAAAAGTGAAATTTCTGTAAATATTGAACTGTTTTATTTTCAAATAATCCAGAGAATTTTATATGTGTAAGAGATTTGTATTATTTTTGTTCAAACACTATGACTTTGCTATGTATCAGATAAAAGCCACATTTTCACACCTATAATAAAAGCATTTATAAGAATAAATTACATTTTAACACAAGTTCAAGGTTTTCCTTTTTTTATTTGGAGTTTGCTTCATTTGAATTGCCTGTCCCATGGTAAAGATTTGAACTGAACCTTAGCTGGGGATAAATTGGAGGAAGGGGTATCAGGGAGGGCACAGGCTCAATGCAGCCCTACCAGCACTGGGATCCCTGTCATTGGCTGAAGGACTTGGGCCATTGTAATTGGGACAAAATTGAGAGAAATAGTGAGTTGACCTGGAATTCTTTCTTTCCCCATTGGACACAAGTGCCACTGGCAAGGCTAACATTTGTTGCCTCATCCCAATTTGCCCCAGAATTGCATTTCAGAGGGCACTTAAGAATCAATTGCAATGCTGAGAGTCTGGACTTGCATGTTGGCTGGATAGTATCTTTCCTTAAAGGAAATTAGTGAACAAGATGGGCTATTAACAATCATTTTGTTTTTATTTATTCATGGGATGTGGATGTTTCTGGCTGGGCCAGTATTTATTGCCAATCCCTAGTTGCCCTTGAGAAGGTGGGGGTGAGCTGCCTTCTGGAAACACTGCAGTCCGTGTACTGTAGGTAGAACCACCATGCCCTTGGAGAGGGAATTCCAGGATTCTGACCCAATGACAGTGAAAGAACAACAATATATTTCCAAGTCAGGATGGGGAGTGGCCTGGAGGGAACTGCAAGTAGTGGTATTTTCATGTATTTGTTGCCTTTGATGCTAATTTCATGGTCACTGTTACTGACACATACTTTTCAACTCGATAATTTTAACTATCGAATGTAAAATTTCCCCAAACTATCATGTTGGTATTTGAACCAGTGGCCTCAGGGCAGTAGCCTGGGTTTCTAGACAGTTAATTCAGTTACATTCCCACCACACCACTGCATTCTCCTTAAAGCAGGGGCCGATGGGTTGAATAGTCTCCAGTGTTGGAAGATTCTGTGAACAGACCTGGTTGATGCCAAACTGGAAAATAAGTCAACAGCCTTTTTGTTTAGATTTTACTGATTATTGTATTCCCAGCACCTCTCAGATCAAATCCCAGACATCCGATTTAGAGGAATGGATGAAGTCATGGAACTCAGTAGGAAAGCTTTTAACCTGAACTGTCTGTTTTTTGATTATAGGCTGTACATCAACCGAGAGAGTGAGACTTGAGTTTTTACAGCATGCTGACAACCATAGGACATTGGAAAATATTTTTTCTTTGAGTTTAATTTCACCTTAGTGAATTTACAAACGTCACCTTTTAAATGTAGTCAGCACTTACAAATGAAAGCCCCCTGCTCCTTGTTAAATCAGCATCATCAGCTGGGAGCTCTGGGCTGTGAAATGCTGAGACTATGATAAGTGAAATTAAAAAAAAAACATTTTTTAAAAATGTGAAAATTACTACTGTGACAAAGATTTTCACAAAAATCTCTCCAAATCTCTGTCATCTTACATGTTGTAACATTCATGTTTTGATCGGACCAGTTATCAATCAGTTTTACTTTAATCCAAATCATTCTGTGAAATTAGTAATTTTCAAGGAATACATAAGATAAAATAACTCCAATTCTGTGGTATTCCATAGTTTGGAGACATATTCATTGTATGGTCTACTGCTCTGTATTGAAGAAGTCAGTAATTTGTGGATGTCAAGTTTATAATGTCATGAGGAAAAATGTGAGGCAAAGTTTGGCCAATTTCTGAAAAGTGTCCATCACGAACAGCTTTTGCTTTTAAATGTTGGCTTGTTTGAAGCTGGCTGTATTCTTGCTGAAGGACCAGCTACACACCAAGGAGAACATTATCAGACCAAAAGAAATAGGAGCAGAGTGAGGCCATTTGGCCTATAAAGGCTGCTCCATCATTCGATTATGGCTGTTATGTTTCTCAGTCCCATTCTCCTGTTTTCTCACTGTGACCCTTGTTACACTTACTACTCAAGAACATATCTATCTCTGTCTTAAACACACTCAATGGCTAGATCTCCACAACCCTCTGTGGTAATGCGTTCTACAAATTAATCACTCTCTGGCTGAAGAAAATCCTACTCATCTCTGTTCTAAGGGGTTGTCCTTTCACTCTGAGGCTGTGCCTCTGGGTCCTAGTCTCCGATTAGTGGAAACATCTTCTCTACGTCCACTCTATCCAGGCCTCTCAGTGTTCTGCAAGATTCAATCAGATCCCTCCTCATCCTTCTTAACTCCAATGAGAACAGACCCAGTGTCCTCACATGACAAGCCCCTTATTCCTGGAATCATTCTCATAATCCTCTTCTGGATCCCGTCCAACACCAACACATCCTTCCACAGATATGGAGCCCAAAACTGCTCACAGTATTCCAAATGCAGTCTAACCAGAGCCTTATACAGACTCAGCAGTAACCCCCAAACTTGTATGCTAGTCCTTCAACAGCAAAGCAACTTGGGGCTGATCACAATCCTTCAAGAAAGCAGACATGGCATTGGTTAAAACTTTTATCTAAAGGACTGCACTTTCAACATTGCAGCACTCTGTCAGTACTGCACAGTGCCTGCTTGGACAATACAGCAGCCCCTCAGTACTGCACAGTGTCTGCTTCAATCTGTGCTCCCAAATCTTTGGCAATCAGATGAAACAAACTTCAGGCTGAGGCAAGAGTTGTACAAATTCAGCCGGGATTGTCACAATTTACTTAATCTTTCTGTTAAATGTTGTCTTCAGCAAAATCTTTAAGACATTTTTGAGACAAAACTAGAGCTTGACAACTTAGGAGTGACTTCAGGAAGCACTTTCACACAAAGAGTCATGGAAATCAGAACCAATGACAAATGGCCAGGGTGGAGAACCGGATACATATCAGGAACATGGAAATAAATTTCACAACAGAAACGGCAGTGATTATTTCAGAATGACGTCTTGAGCTGTCTGATACTAAGCAACAGCAGATTAGGAAGATGGAAGATCAATGTGAGAGGAGAGGAGACTGGTGCTGGAACATAAGGGAGCTGTTCCACTACGATGAACTTTCCTGAACCGGCCTGTGTCAAAGTCTGAGTAGAAAAGTTCGAGCTGCAGGAAGGACTGCAGTTAATAAAAGAGTGGAGAGGAAATGGGTGACAGATAAAAAGCTAACGGTTAACAAACAAGGAATTGAGAGTAAAGGTCAGAATAGGAGACAAAAATATCCTGAAACAGGGCTGGTTATTAGAATTACTAATGAAGCACTTGTTATAAACTATGTGATGGAAATGTGTTAAATTTCTGATATATTAACACACAACACATTAGCAACTTAAAATATGAGCATGTGATCAGGGCAGTGAGCATGTGGACTAGTTACCCAGGGAGTGGTCTGCCCAGAATATAACCACATGAGGAAAATGACGAATCGAGAAACACATGTGTGTGTAGTCGCCATTGGAGACCTGGCTACAAGCTGGGCATGATCAAGAGCCAAATGTTCCAGACTACTGGGTGTTTAGAAAGAACAAGAAAATAGAAATCAAGGGCAAGCAACAAATTAGTGAAAGAGAAAATGAGTCAGTTGGAGAGAGGGATTTCATTAGACTGACAATCTAAATTGGAGTGAGGCATCAAAACATGCAAGACTCTCGTCTTCAGACTTCCAGACAGCACTGACAGACTAAAGGATATTTAAACATAGTAAATAGGAACATATGTAGGCTGTTTAACCTCTTGAGCCTGTTCTGCCTTTCACTATGATCATAGCTGATTTGGTGTTTTGAATTCCACAATCTCTTCTACTCTGCAATTTCCCTCAATTCTCAGCCGAACAAGAAACTATTCAACTCCATCTCAAAAAATTCCATGACACCGCCTCCACTGCCTTCTGAGGCAAAGTCACACAAACCCTCTGAGAGAAATAAATTTCTTCTCATCTCTGTCCTGAAAGGGTGACCCTAAATTATAAATCAGTGCCCTCCTAGTTGTGGGCTGACCCCCAAGAGGAAACATCCTTTCCACATCCACCTTGTCAAGACCATCAGGATCTTACGCACTTCAATCAGGTCACTCCTCACTTTTCTAAACTCCGGTGGAAACGAATCCAGTCTGTCCAACCTTCCCTCATAAACTAACCCACTCATTCCAGTATCAATCTAATAAACCTCCTCTGAACCACCTCCAATGCATTTAAATCCTTTTGTAAATAAGGAGACTAAAACTACACACAGTTTTCGGGATGTGGTCCCAGTCATTCTCCATTTAAGTAAAACTCAGCCACTCCACTTCTCCTACCAAAGTGAACAACTCAGCATTTTCTGTATAAATACTGACATCATGGACCTAGTCACAAAAAAAAACATGATTCTAATCTGACAATTTATTTTCATACAGGCTGGAGAAGTAAAGGCACTAAAATTACTCCAACATATTGGGATAGTTTTCTACAATATATTGTGGACCAAGGAAACAGGTAAAACCAGATTCAATGATGACTAATGATGCAGAATTAGCTGCCGGTCTGACACATTAACTGCAGCCATTTTATAGTCACAGGAAGGAAAAGAAAGACATAAAGGTTTTAATGTCAGAAAATTTCTGAAGAAATGAAGTAAATGAGTCAGTTTCAAAGCCCCAGACACAAACACGTCATGTCAGTCAGCACACAGCTCACTTTTGGATCTTTCTGCACATTGCTGTGAGGTGTTGTAACCAGAAGAGTCAAGCCCGTCTAATCTACTCTACACAGTAATTATTTTATTTTGTAAACATGCCCTAACAGAAACTGCCTCCTGGTAAATGTTGCTCTGCTTGTTCTGCCAGCTTACAAAATGAGCTCAGACTTCAAAAAACAATTTAACAAATGCAGCCTAATCACTGGGTTTGCAGCAATGAAACAGTCTGGGTACCAGCCAAGCTAACACAGTCAAACTTTCTAGCCTCCCATCATTTTAACTTTTTTTATTTATTGCCTGGAAAACTCTTAGTTCAGTATGTGTGGCTACCCAAATTAGTCCATCAAAACACCAATTCCTGTCCAGACCCTGAGGAACCCATTCCATCTGGCACCATAAACACTCACACTAC